ATCTTATAAAAAAAAAATTCTCTGAGAACTTGTTTCTTCATTTATAAAATTCAAATTTAAAATTTTAAAAAGAATCAAATGCTTTATACTCAAATTAATAAATTATTAGTTTTACATTAATCTCTTACAAACAAAAAACAAAAAAACTAAAAAAAAAAACAAAAAAAAGGTTAGGTGAATCATGCTCTAAATTTGTATTGACATTCCTCCTTGTGTCAATTATCATAATCTCATGTCAATCATCAAGATCTCGTACCATTTTGGAACATTGTATTTTAAGAAGGGGCAAAATGGAAAGAAACTGAATATGAAAACGATGAAAAAATTCGTGCTGTAGCTTTCCAGGAGCTCTATAGTTTTTTTTTTTTTTTTACAAGAATAATAATTAGTAAATTAAGTTAATTGATTATTAGAAACTGAAAATTCAATTTTTAAATAAAAATGAGCACTATCCCTTCTCATTAAAGAACGCGACCCAATGAGTCACGTGATGGAGTTCTTCAACTTGTATAAACCATACCATGGACCAACACCTACCACCACTAGTAGTTAGAAAGGATAAAAGTTTCTCATGTCTCTGTTAAACAGAGAAAGCAATTCATCTCCTTGGTTCACTGCTACAAAATCAATGTCATGTTGCCAACCGGGCCTGTGGCTCAATTGGTTGGTCTCAAGCTTTAGGGTTTGGGTGAGGCGGAGGTCAGGGTTTTGAGTTTTGCCACCGCCATGAACTCCACCAACTTGCGACCTAATGGTCGCGCGCTTTAAATGAGGGGTAGAAGGTTCACTTTCCTGAAAAAATTCCAGCTGCTAACAAATTAACTCTATTAACTTCTTAATCTTTTATCTGGTCAAAAAAAAAAAAAAATCAATGTCATGTCTAATCTAAAAAACGCGTTATGGCAAGACACGGAATTCCCTTTATTTTTTGTTTTAGTTCATGACATGATTCATTCAGGCACTTTGAAATTACTAACTGCCACTGGAAAAGGAAAGTGACAACATTGTCAGAATCTTGAGAGATTCATGCAAACCCATTTTAGAAGTCGTTAAAGATTTCACTCGTAATGAGTTGGAAGTTGAAATGATGAGTGCGCGTTTTTATCTCTGTAACAACGACCAAAAGTACTTCGTAAAGCCTAGATGGAAGCATCATTTATTTTATTTATTTTTATAATAATTGATACATTTTTCAGTTCAACACAATATATAACATATTCTGATTCAATCATTAAAATATTTTTGAAAATTTTTTCATCATGATTCAAATTCAAAAATAATAATTTTTTAATAAATGTGTTATAGAATGTATTGAATATAAGGGTGTACTAATTATTTTTTTATTTTTTTAGATCTTTTTCAAGAATACAAAATAAAAGTGTAATTATTATATTTTTTATTATTAATTATATATTAATTTATATCTTTGATGGGTACTATTTTTTTTAATTTATGATTAAAGGCACTTTTAGACTAATTTTTATACATTTTGAAATTAATGTTTTATTAAATAATATTAAAAACACATTAATTTAATATATTTAATAAAATTTACTTTTTTAAATATTAACCTTAAAACTTGAATCATTCACTTAATTTACAAAACTACAATTGCTTACTAGTACTAGTAGGTTCAATCTTTGGGTATGTTTGACGCGTACCATAATATCAGAAAACAATTCAATATTTTTCCCAACTCTGCACCGTCCTAGTGCTCTAACTTCTGTTCCATGGTGGTCTAGAGTCTGAAGTCTGCGCCCACCTCTTTTCTTTTTCCCTTTTCTTTTCTACAATTCCGATGATTCCATTTTTGAGCTACCTAAAGAATGATTGAAAAGCAATATTCTCCTATGAAAAGAAAGTGAGGATCCGTAAAGATTAAAAGATCAATTTGTCTCTCAACTTTCAAATTTATATCAAAATTATCTTTTTACTTCAAAAAAATATTAAAATTATCTCAAACTTTAAAGATAATACCAATTTAATTCTTAAACTTTGAAGATAAGTACCAACTTAATTCTTGAACTTTAATTACAAATATCAATTTGGTTTTCTAACTTTGATTGCATATCAATCTAATATATAAATAAAAATATATCACGACAGTAAAATATGACTGATTTTATACATCATTAGTATTTAAAAAAAAACTAATTTTGTAATAAAATAATGAGTTACTTGATACTTTTTAACATAAGGACTTTTTTGTATTAAAATTAAAATTTAAGAATAATTTTGATATTTTTTGAAGTTAAAAAATAATTTTAATATAAATCTAAAAGTTGAGGGAGCATAATGGTTTTTTAACCAGTGTCATAAAGCTAACAATCCAAAAGGAAGAAAAAAATAAAAAAGCGAAAGAGAAAAAGGTCAAGACATGGCATGGGAGCATAGACTAGTGGGTGGGCAGGCATCAATGCCACGCAAACTCTATAACTTGTTTGCTCTCCACTCTGCGAAACTTGGAAAAAGTTGATTGTTTTTTCATCGTCAGCCTTAAGAATCTAAGGTCAGTTTCTTAGGATTTGGTCTAAAAATATCCTTGTAGGATAGGAATTGAAGGCAAATCACTTGTAAAGAAGAGGATTTTTTGTGTTGGAGCCTGGAATTAAGCCAATTAAACCAGAATTTGGAGGATTCAAAATACATGAAATTCTTATTCATTGTATAGCCAACATCTGAGATAGGTAAAGATACAAACACAAAACCTATCCCACACACATCATTTCCTCCCTAAAATTTTCAGAAAACAATTGAAGAGGTCTTTATTACTAGATACAACAGACTTAAATAAAAAAATAAAAAAACCATGGGTTAGGCAGATCTTTTTTCCTTTTTCCCTTTTTTTTTTTTTTTTTTTTGGTAAAGAAGATGAAATATAACCAAAAGCATTACCGTCTGGGGTAGTAAACCCCTACAAGATCAGCCATACACAACAAATTCACATCAGGTGGACAGTCAAACAAAATATAAAACCCATGAGGGGCCAAAGCTTCCTTCTTGGCAATAGCATCAGCTGCCATGTTGCTCTCCCTCATCACATGTTTCAGCTGTACTTGGGGAATGGTGCGCAAAATGTCCCTGCAATCCATAAGCAAAGTGCTGTGAGGATGAAAGGGATTTGGATCATCTGATAAAAAGAACATAGGCAACCATGGATTAGGCAGATCACATCTTTAACTTTCAACAGGTAAAAAAGACTAAACAGAAGCTGTGAATCTGGATCTAAAACGACAAAATTTCACCTCTTGGAGGATTCTTTTGCCTTTGAGAAAGCGGAGATGAAAGTCTTGCACAATCTCTCAAAAATTTTTTCTTTCACTTGACCCCTCTTTGGAGGAAATCTTGCCCACTTTTTCTCCTTCTTTCGGAAAGTAGAACCGGATGCTGACATCCTGCAGGATATCTGCATACACATACAGAAAGAAAACTAACGTTAACATAAATAGGAAGGTGAAAAGAGGACTTCAGACTTTATCAGGAATCAGGATACCTTGTACGGACACAGAGGAAAAAGGGAAGGAGAGATTAAGAAGATTTTGGGAAAGAAGGAGGAGGAGGATTAAGGGAGGGGAAGGAAGAGAGAATTTTCATAAGTAACTATAGAGTGAGGGTGTTTTTTTGTTTGGGGGGGGAGGGAATTGGGAGCAATTTTTCGAAGTAAATTCGGAGCAATTGGGAGCAATTTTTCGAAGTAATTTCAGAGCAATTTTTCGGTTTCTTAGCTGTTAAGAGAGAAGTTTCTTGTTAGTTTAGTACTTTGGCGTGGAAAGATTTTCTTGGATTTGTGTAGATTTTTTTTTTTTATATATATATATTTTGAGAAAATGGAAATGGAGGGAATTGGGAGCAATTTTTCGAAGTAATTTCGGAGCAATTTTTCGGTTTCTTAGCTGTTAAGAGAGAAGTTTCTTGTTAGTTTAGTA